AAAAAAAAAAAAAAGAGTGAATGAGGATGTCTGGGGTAAGCAAGTGCTAAGTGCTTAATATTTACTGTCTCATTTAATCAGTGGCTTCTCGTGACTCTTAGAATAGAATTTCCCAAATTTCAGACAGTTGGACAGGCAGGATTTTTGTCATATCTGCACACTGACTGTACTATTATTTATCTAAAATTTTTTCTTAAAGCAACTCACTTGTTAATCACTAACCATATTTAGAAGGTAACAGTTAATGAAAGTTACAGTGAAAACAAAACAATGTCATAAGATCCTGCTGAAACAGACAGCTTTCTTAGTTACGAAGGGAGATTAGCAAGAGTTAAAGACACATTATTAGGATAGGAAGTGGCCTATCTTTAGTCAGAAAACTAGGTGAAGACTGAAAGCTGAAAAGAGGGAATTTGAGGGATTCATTCTCTTCCTTAAATATTAGCATTAAATCACTTTGCCCACTGTTCCAGAGTTAGGAAAATTCTGCTTCTGGAAGAGAGACAAAGCTACAGATGCCCCCCATTTTGGTCCAAGACTCCTGTTTACGGACACTCAGATCAAGAGCTACTTTTTTTTTTTTTTTGTAGTATCACAGTTGCAATTTTACATTCGTTTCTGGGTTTGTCTCTTCTAGCCTATGGCCTCCATGCGAGGGCAGAAACAAGTCTAGCAGGTGCTTACTAAGTGTTTTTTGTGAATGAATGATGCATTTGCAACTCTCCTTTGAGATCGGTCCTCTGAACTCCACTTTTTACGGATCGGGAAACTGAGGCCAGAGAGGATCGCCCTGCAGGAGAGCACGTAGGGGACAGCTCTAGTCGTGCCCGCCATCCCAAGATCCCCTCCCCTCTCCGCTGGACAGGACAGGCGCCCCGCTGAAGCCTCCGCAGAGCTGGGAAAGGGCTGGGCCACAGAAGCAGCACCCAGACCGGTTTACCCGGCTCCAGGAACCTGGGCGAGGTCCGCGCGTCGGAGAGGGGGAGACGCAGGCCTTGGCCAGGCGCAGGGAAGACCGGACTCCATCTCCGCGAGGAAATTTGCGTACCAGGCAGGGCTGTCGGGGTCCGTAACTGGCCACAACGCGGGGCGGAGCGATCTGGGTGTCCATCACAGACGGGGGCGGGACATACGAGCTTACCCGCGTCTCGCGCTCTTCTCCGGTCCCGCCCCTGCGCGCTACACCAAGTGACTTCCAAGAACTCCCAGGGTAGTGTGTGGCCCGGGCCACGCCCCTGACCCCCAAACCGGTCCGTTCCGGAACCCGCCCGGGCCCTCCGCGCGTGGCCCCCCACCCCCAAGCACGCCCCGCGGATGCAGGGGCGGGACTTAGGGGCCGCGCTGGGGGCGTCTGGGGCTGGGGGCCCGCCCGGAATCAGGTAAATGGCGGAAAAAGCGGAAGGGAAATGGGGATTGCCAGAGTTTGAGGCTCACGCTCCCCACCGTCGTCGTGGAGGCTGCTGAAACCCCCATGTGTCCAGAGGAGCCCAGAGCCCCACACCAGCGTCCAGGGGGACCAGAGCCCCCACACCAGTGTCTGGTGGAGCTCAGATCCACATACCCACGTTCGGGGGAGCCCACACCTTCCCCACCTGGGTCCAGAGTTGCTCTCACTAGGGTACTTCTGTTTCCTGAGGCTCAGCTTAGGGCTTTATTCCCCCCCCCGCCTCTGTGTTAAAGGGAGTTCACGTCTCCCCAGGTTTGTGTCCAGGATAGCTGAGCCCAAGGCCTAAGGCCCTCCACCTACTTGTCCAGCTTGAGATCTCCCCACGCCCACCTCCTTGCCTGACCCTTTATAATGCAGCCCCCCTCAGCAGAAATCCGCACCCCCTCCAGCCGTTTTTATTTCTCGTGGCCTTCCAACCTCCCGGCCCCATCGGTCGCGGATCAACCCCCACTCCCCCAGCACATTGTTGACTCTCAGCTAAGAAATAATCTCAACATTCACTGTCCCCTCGACCCCCACCCCCTCAGCTCCTTCCCGCACCTAGAGGCTCCCCTGGCCCCCTGGGGACCTGCCATTCCCCGCCTGCCACCGACTGGCACCAATTAATTTCCTCCTCAGCCTGTCCACCCACATCTGGTGGCCAGCTGCTCGCCCTCACCCTGCCCGCCCCCAGGGTCTCCCAGGGAATTGCTAACAGCTCTCCTTCCTGCGCCCCTCAAATCCGGGACGCCCCACAAAAGCACACGTTTCCCCCCCTCCCCCACCGGAGTCTGCTAATCGGAAAAAGCTGACAGGACCTGGAGGAGAGAAGATCTGAAATCAGATGGAGGAGGGGTGGGGTGTGAAACTTTCTAAACCAGGGATAGGGGAGGGGTGGTGGCGTGGAGGGGGAAACGGGTGGAGGGAGGCAGGAGCTTAAGTTGTACCTAAAGGCTCGAGATCAAAGCTTTCTGGCTCCCAGATGGGGACTGCAGGGAAGGCCGCCCCCACCCTGGGGCAGGCAAGGCGGAGCATCCCCCTCCCTCGGAAACCCCCTGAGACGCGGCGGTGACAGCTGTGCCCCAGCCCGTGCCCGGCGGGCTTCCTTTTCCTGTGCTCACTCTCCTGACAGGCTGGCCAGCAGCCTGGAGACACTGGTCCGGCCCTTTTGAAGGGGCTCCCCAGAGGGTCTTCCTGGACGAGGGGGAGGGGACTGGCGGAGAACAATGGGCTTCTGTAGCTGCAGGACGCCAGGCGCTTCCTGTTAACCCTTCCCTCGGGTTGCAGCTTGGGGGAGCATCTCCGAGGCCTGGACTGTGGAGGAGGACCGGGAGGGGATTGGCAAAGCAAGCTTGCCTGCTTGTCATGCAAGTTCTTTTTCTCCTGTTTTGGGTCTTGTTTTCGAAAGTGATCAGAAACGGTGAGCTGAATGCAGACCTTGCCTTCCTCCATGGAGTCATAGAGCCTGGTTCTTTGCTTTCTGTTGAGCTGAGGGTTGGACAGCCAGGGGACAGGGCATAGCTAGCCTGGGAGAATCCTCCACGCTGAGCATCCAGACATCCCAGGATCTCTGGTGGTGGGCCTGACTGGGCTGAGGGACCCAGGTGAAATCAAGATTCATCCATGTTTGCTGCCCTGCCAGATTAGCTAGGGGTCACACCCCCTGAGCCAGTTCCCTGGGTGGTCTGGGCCTCAGTTTCCCTGTCTGGGAAGTTCTCCCAAGGCCTGAGAGGAGCACAGGGTGGTCCTGACGGGCCAGAGCGACCTGAGCTGGGAGTCCTGGAAAACTTTTGCTCTTCCTTGGAGCCCCGGGAAGCCGTGTTGGGGAATTAGCTGCTGTGTTAATTTGAAGATTCATTCAAAGTCCCTTCTGTTTACAGAGCTAGCCTGAGAAGCTCACCCTCAAGAGATTCTGTGAGCCTCCATGAGCCCCTGAGTGCCCCTGGAGACTCAGCACCCGGCCCTGGAGGCTTTCGGGTAGTTACAGACCAGATAACACGATCTGTTTTAAGAAGAGACTACACACGGCCTCCCACCAGCCAGGTACTGTGCTTGGCTCCTCTCCCGTATTCACTTATCCCTCCCTGCAAGCCTAGGTCAGAATTAAAGTAGGCATTTTCCTGGTCCCATTTTACAGATAAGGGAATTGAGACGCAGAGCAGATGTGTGTCTAGTAAAACAGAGTCCATTGTTTTTCTTTCTGTCCTGGATTGGGGGGCCGGGGGGCAGGGGTTAGGTAGGGGCCCTTGTCCACACCGGTGGACTTTTGTTTGTATATACCCAACAGCTTATCTTCCCTTCACAGATGAGGAAAGAACTCAGTGGGGTGGTCTGCCTGCCACCACTGGGCGGCCTTTTCTCTCTCTCCCTCCATCCTCAGCAGACTGCCCACGAGGTTTGCCCACCAAATGCCCTCTTCAGCTTTTTCAGACCCACTTGCTGGGTGACTTGGTACCATCTTTTCTCCCCCTTCTTTTTTTTTTTAAGATTTTTATTTATTTATTTATTTGACAGAGAGAGAGACAGCAAGAGAGGGAACACAAGCAGGGGGAGTGGGAGAGGGAGAAGCAGGCTCCCCGC